TGATGGAAACTCTTACGGTGAGTATAGCTGCTAAAACGTTTTCCACGTCCTTTCCAGACGAAAATAAGTAGTTGAAGACTTTCTTTGCGCTCACAGCATTATGATGTGTCTGTAAAGGAAAGGTGTGGTCGAAAGAATTCGAGTTTCCAACATTCAGAAGAAGCAACTTTGAGGCACCTTTTTAGGTCTTTCAGAAAACTTTTAATCAATAAAGTGATTGTTCAAGTTTTGCCATCGTAGAATCCAGTTAAACGGGCACTGTTAATCACATTCCGAGGTTTTCAACTAATTTCGATGTTTTTTCAGTGAGCCCTGGCGCTCTAAGCAAGTCCGATACCATGCCCGAACCTTCAGCGGGCTTTCCAATAGTTGTTTTTGTTAATACGTCGACGTTAATAGTGTGTTATGATCTAACAGTAGGACACGATTCTCGAATCAAATGTAGAATCAGAACGAAAAGTGATTTTGTTCAGTTGTATGAGAGACGTAACGTTATAAATTTGGTTCGTCGTATAAAGAGTTTAGTCCGGACGAAGGACTAAAGAATAAACGCACAAAATAACAACTAATAGCACAATGAGAGTTCTCAATGTGTAGAATAATTATTCTTTATAGAGAAAACAAATTGAAACAGAGCTTTCATAAAATGGAATGGTTTTAAACAAAACTAAACTTACGGTGGATACAGGAGACAAAATGCTGTGTAAAACCAAAAAAAGATCGTCTTTATCTCATTTTGCAGAAACGAAAAGTCAATCAACGTCTTCAATCTAATCTGAAGACTTCTCAGCCATCGTCCTTTCCACAAGAACTCGGAGTTCTTGTGGGAATGACGATGATCGACAAGTCTTCTTCATTTTAAAACACAACATGCATAGTTAGTTTTCTGATGGAAACTCTTACGGTGAGTATAGCTGCTAAAACGTTTTCCACGTCCTTTCCAGACGAAAATAAGTAGTTGAAGACTTTCTTTGCGCTCACAGCATTATGATGTTGCGCAGTGACAACCAAAATATGAATAAAAAAACATTTCTTTTCATTCTTTTACTTTTCTTTATTCAAATCGAACTTCCTTTTTTGTTGATTATCTAAGAATATGTTTTCTCGTCAATTTCTTAGTACTGGTCTGTTATTACGATTGTTATATTTTTATAATGTGAATGCATGTCGGAATAGTGACAAAGATGCTCTAACCGCTCTTCACCACCAAATATATAATCTGAGAGAAAGACCAAACGGAGTTAATGAAGCGCGTGATTTTATCTTTGTTAATGAAGACTTCACGTTTGTAGCGCCACCGTTAGAAGAATACGAAGAAGAAGGTGATAATGCGTATTCGGCGTTTCCTCTCTTCCGTAACCGAGTGAAATTTGAGAATGCCTACGGTAATAGTGGAGCAAGTCAAGAAGACGCAACTGATCAAGCCATCCTAATGCTAATTGCTCGTTTGCAAACTCAACAATCACTCTTGTTCAAACCAGTTGCATCAGGAGAATATCTGGAACCATATGTCGAATGTATAGTGGAGTGAAAGAAGAACTATTGTACGTCTAAACTACTTAATATTTGCATAGACTTATGAACATAACGTTCACAAAAACGGTGTCTCTGACGCTTTTAATAGTAAATTTAAGACTAGGATGGATTTTTGAATAAAAAGCATTTGTCTTTCATCTTTCTTTCCTCCGCGTATAATCGAGAAAAACGGGCCTAGACCGAAAAGATACGAATAGGTACGTGTTTTAACTGTTTTTATATTATATTTCGATCAAGTTAAAATATGTTTCTCTAAGCATTCTGATTTTTTAAATTCCACCTTAATTGTGTCGAATAAATAATTTGAAAAATTCAAATCCTTAGAAAAGTTTAACTTGATTAAAATATAATACAAAAATGGTTAAGACATGTACCTTTTTTGAAGTTATATTATTCTGCGTTTTCAAGAAGCGGCCACTTTTTAATTAATAAGTGCAACAAACGTAAGTTGAAATAAAGATATATAAATTAGTAGTTTTCTGGAAACAATGAAAGTAAAAACCTATATAATAATAATTGTTGACTGTATCATATATAGTCATGTTTGAACATTATCAGCTAACTTTGGATCATGATTATGATTTGTGGCAACGGATTTCGTAATCGCATTATTTTTCAAAGTAATAAATAGCACGAGGACAGGATTTGAATGTACAGAAGTATACTGACGAGGCGTTCTGATTTGCACGTTTTAACCGCCCCAGCAAAAGAAAAAATCGATGAGCTAGCTCAACCTAGGTAAAGCGGTACATTTAGCTCGCTACAATCTAGCTGGAGATAGCTGTATGTACCGCTTTAATCATTGTACAAAATTGCTGGACTAAGTAAAGTTTGTATTCATAGTTTTAAATAAAATGTGACTTTGTCTCCAAAATTCTATATTTCTATTAACCCCCTCCCCCCCATAATATAAGCCTCCGGGGCTTCTAAACTGTCCAAGCGTTCAAATTTTTAGGGGGGGCTTGTCTTATGAAGGGGCTACTATTACGACTTTCGTACAAAAATTTTCAGAAATAAAAGGAGATTTTGAATTTCGATGCTCTTGCCTTTCTAATCACGATAATCTCAATTAATCTGAAAAAAATCTTTTTCGAGATAAAAAATGTAAATTTTATTCGTTTCCTTTTTTTACACACGACATCACACAAGAACAATTAAAGTAAAAAAA